TCCAGACTATGGGAAACTCAGTTTCTTCTACAGATAAGGACACAGTATCAGAGAGGGAGGGGGAAACTGTACAGGCAAAGAGACTTAAGAAGTTTATAGAACAATTTGCATTGAAGTTTAGTTTGCCAAGACCCCTCGTGGCCTTGGTGCTCCCCAGAGCATCCTCTGGGCTTTGGCTCCTGCTGCCAGTTTGCCTGTTCTTTTCCTACCTCCTTCTGCATTCTTGAGAGATAACTGGATTAGCCCAGGGCCTAAGCCAGGTCCTAGGATTGTTCTAGGCTGTAGGTCAGAAATCACCTGGTGGACTACCTGATTTGATCATATGTCCCCCTTTTACTTAGATGGAGGTACAGGGCCAAAGGGAACCCCACGAGGAAGGGGTGATGTGTGCAGCCACTCAATACCCTGAAAGGTAACTTGGGGAACAAAAGGGAGAGTTAACATGGCAGGCTAACACATCGAGTTTTTTCCACAGTTTTTTTTTTTTTTTTCATATAAAACTTGAGTGCGTAGGCCAAAGGGATACACCTGAGCCCATTTGGCCAGTGATTTGGGGTTTGGGGGGCAAGAGGAAGAGCAGTACATGTGAGTTGGGCAAGGGTGAGGGCTCTGGGAAGGCCCACCATGGATTTCAGGGGCGGGGAGAACTGCCTGGTGGCCCCTTCCTGGTGTTCTGGAGTTCACACTTTGATTTTTCTACGTAGGAACTGTGTATCTGTGGGCAACTTACTGAACTTCTGTGTGCCTCAGTTTCATCACTTTGTAAAATAGGATTGGAGTAGTGGAAGCTGCCTTGTAGGTACTCCCGGGAGTTTTGAGCCTGGAATAAGTTAGTGCATGCAGAGTTGAGAGCAGTATCTGGTATGGGGCATGTGCACAGGTGACCTGGAGCCAGCTCTGGAACCCCAGGTTTTTAATTTATTCTGTCTTGAATGAAGGGGCTGGCCATGCTTAGTTCCTGCCTCTGGGGAGCCAGGCAGCCCAGTGCTGAGCCCAGCAAGGTACACAGAGGGACCCCAGAAGCACTGAGGTCAAGTCCCTGAGTCCTATCAGGCATCTCCGGGTTGATGATCACCATGGTTTGCTCAGCTTGCCCCTTCTCAGTACCAGTCAAAACCCATGGGCTCACCATACAGGGTATGTATGGGTCACCATACAGGGTCAGTACAGGGTATGACCAGACCCTGTACTGGTCATACAGGGCCTGCTGACTCTCGGGGAATTTGCTGCCCACAGAGGAGGGAAAAATGCACCTCCCCAAAGCCAACAACCAAGGGCCAGGCAAGCCCTGTGGGAGGAAAATAACTCGGGCTACAGATTTTCTTTTCTGGGCTTGGAGTCACGCCATGGACAACACAGAATCAGACATGATTAGCATCATGGCTTCCTGAAACACTGTCTGTGTGCACTAGCAGGTGGTGGGCTGATGTCACCCTCAAATGGCTCTTTCTCGAGTCCAAGGGTCTGGCTCCCTGCGGGGCCCTGGTCCACTGCACATCAGCCCTAGGTATAAGCAGCTCAAAGAGTCACTTCAAGCTGCAGAAGACTTCCTGTGCAGGTTTGAAGATGTCCACCGTCTTCCCCAGACTTGCTTGGAGAGAGAACAGAACCTTGTCAGACTGGCCCGCCCCAAAGCCCTCCTCATCCCCCTCACCTGTGCATTTCCGTAACATTTCCTGATGCTCAGGCTGCCCTGCACCTCTGTGACTTTGCTCAGATCCTTCCCTTGTCTAAAACTTGTTTGAAGAACTGAATGAAGATACTCAGTGCTTATGGACACTGAGCCACAAAATAAGGGCTCATGGAAAGGTTGAAGGCAAGGCTCTGAGGACATGGGAGCTTCAGAGATGAATTCAGAGGGATTTGGGCTGGACTTGAAGAGGAACCACTTGAGGAGAGGATAGAGAAAGGCTTTTTGAGAACAGCAGCAATGAAGGCTCTTCGTGAGGCTGTAGGTACTGGCTCATGGGCAGTGAGAGGAGGCAGATTCTTGTTGGGGAACCACTTGATGTATGTTTTCTTTTTTTTTTTGAGACGGAGTTTCACTCTTGTTACCCAGGCTGGAGTGCAATGGCGTGATCTTGGCTCACCTCTGCCTCCCGGGTTCAAGCAATTCTCCTGCCTCAGCCTCCCAAGTAGCTGGGACTACAGGCGCGTACCACCATGCCCAACTAATTTTTGTATTTTTAGTAGAGACGGTGTTTCACCATGTTGACCAAGATGGTCTCGATCTCTTGACCTCGTGATCCACCCGACTCGGCCTCCCAAAGTGCTGGGATTATAGGCATGAGCCACCGCGCCCGGCCTTGATGTGTTTTATTGCAACTAAATGATAAAACTGAGGCTGAAACACAGATATTTTCTGCCTGACTTTTTCTAGAATGCACCTTTCTCTGAAGATGATAGAAAAGCATGAAGAAAAGGAGATGATGGGAAATGTATGATGGAGTCATTATGATTTGGAGGAAGGTCAGTGCTTGCTGTGGTTGCAGAGAGGCGAGGAGACTTTAGAGCTCTGGGATTAGAGAGGTGGTGGGTGCGTGAAGAGGAACAGATACAGGGAGAGACATTACAAAGGACTGTCAACAGGGCTTGATGATAACACAGGGAGAGCCAGTCCAGCCTGTCCCCTGGGTGCTGTCCTGAGTTGATGACTGCAATTAAACTGCCAGACTTTACAGCCTGCTCTGCACGGTGTCCTCCTGGCATCTTGGGCACCTTTTCACATTTGGGGCCCCAGGGGTGGTTAGAAGTTGCTCACTCTCTCCATTGCCAAGCACGGGCGAGTCAATGGATTGGGGAAAAGGAGTCTGATTCTCAAAAGCCTGTTGGAGACAGCCATTCTCTCTCCAGCTTATCTGAAGAGCATTTTATTTCAGAAGAAGGCTGGGAGCTTGTTAGAAAGGCAAGTTCTTGGGCCCCACCCCATATCTACTGAATCAGAGACCCTGGGAGTGAGACCAAGCAATCTGTCTTAATAGACCCTCTAACTGCTTGTTGAAATGATCGGAGACCTCAAATGAGATCATGCATGTTGGGGTGTGTGTGTGTGTGTGTGTGTGTGTGTGCACGCGTGCGCGTGTGTGTCTATGTGTTGGTGCGTCTGGCCTAGGGTTCAGCACATAGTAGGTGTTCACTCTTGGGGGTGGGAATGATCACTTCAATGTCCTTGTTTGAGGACTGCTGAGCCCTCAGAAGAGGGAGAAAACAGGGCAGTTTCAGGAGTGGATGTATGGCAAGTTCTGATGTCACAAAGCCCTCTTTACTCCTGACTTCTGGTTTGTGGGTCACTTTAGGACAATGGCTAGAGGATGGCTGTCTGCAGCAAAGAGAGGGCCAAGGGAAAGTGGGATCGAGAGCATAGGGGACAGCTGGAGACAAAATATAAATGCCAGGCAGGGGAACAGCCAAGACAGTGAATAAAGGATTGAGAATCACAGAAACTTCTCAGGTAATAGTCTGGGGGAGAACTTGGGGTGTCCCCAGAGAGGGAAAAAGTGAAAAGTGAACACTGGGTGTCACCTTCAAGGGTGAAAGTGAAAAGGCTCATACCCAACTTCCAGGAGAAGGTCACATTTTTCACTGAAGGATAATCCTGCTTGTTAAGGGGTCCCCAGAGTCCCCAGCATTACTTCCCTTCAGCAGACCCCAATCCTGGTCACCCAATCCCCTTGGGACATCTGTAAAACATACTGATGCCCAACTCCTGCCAACAAGCCTGCCCTGTTCCTGGGATTCTGATTTACTTTGTCTGCAGAGGGCTGGAGCTCAGGTACCTCTATAATGACGGCCAGGTGATTCTACTGTGCAGCCAGGACTGACCACTCTACTTAAACCAAACAAACACACAAAAAATATACACTTGTTGGCCCCCTCCCCTGGGGGTGATGGAGGTTGGGAACGAAGATGATACTGTACCCACAGATGTGTGACCTCTCCACAGAGCTCAGGACTGAATAAATGTTTAGCTAGAACTGGTAAATGCCTTTTTAAAAAGGTATTAAGCACCTATAGAAACCTATAGGGCAAAGATAACTAAGAGGCTTTTTACAAAGCAATAATAAGTTGCTTCTTTAAAAATAATTAATCATGCTTGTAATCCCAGCACTTAGGGAGGCTGAGGCAGGAGGATCGTTTGAGGCTGGGAACTCAAGACCAGCTTAGGCAACATAGCAAGACCTCGTTTCTACAAAAAAAAAAAAAAAAAATTAGCTGAGCATTGGTGTGTACCTGTAGTCTCAGCTACTCTGGAGGCTGAGGGAGAAGGACCCTTTGAGCCCAGGAATTTGAGGCTGCAGTGGGCCGTGATTGTGCCACTGCACTTCAGCCTGGGTGACAGAATGAGACTGCCTCTATAAAAATAAAAATTAAAAAAAGTAATTTAGAACACGGAATACAAGACATCAGTGAATGAAACAAAAAGTCAGTAATAAATCTTATAATCCATGAAGGCACCTTGGTGTAGATAGGGATGGGGAGAAGAGAACAGAAGAGAATAGCTTCTGCAGATGAGGCAGTCCTTCCCTTCTCCCCATCTGCGTGGAGGCTGGCCTAGCACCCAGGTTCCCACCCTAGGCAGTGTTTCTGGAGGCCTGAGCCCCAAGCCCACTGTCTGTGCTGAAAGCTCTTGCTTTGCACTTGTTTGAGCTACATTGAGTCAGTATGAGAGAAGCAGAAAGGTGAAGCAGGTTAAGAACATGGGCAGCCGAGTCCCCTGGTTCAAATCCAGACTCTGCCACTTGTCTGCTCACCCACTGGCCTGGGTCAGGGAGCTGATTCCCCGTGCAGCTGACCTTCTGGGTTCCAAGTCACAGGCTTCCTCCAGGCTTTCTGGTAGACTCTGTCCTCCCCCTCCCCCTTCCTTCCTTCCCCTCCCTCCCCCTCCCTTTTCTGCCATCCTTCTGGGATGTCTTCTAAGTGCTTATGCTGGGTACAAAGAGGGCTTTCCCCCCCAGCTGTAGAATGCTCAGGCCCTGTAACACCTGGATCTGCCCCCAGGTGCAGCAACTCTGGGATCCTCTCGCCCTCCTACTGCTGCCACCCTTAGGGGTCTGGAGTCCTCATGCTGAGCACTGCATGTTCTTCCATCGTGGATGGCCAGGCTCCCTCCCCCTCTTCCCTGACTACAGCAAGAGCCCCATGACTGCCATATTGGAAGGCGTTAGTGTGCGTGTCTGTACATGTATAGGTGTGTGTGTCTCTGTCAGGGTTTGTGTGTCTGTGTGTTATATGTGTTTGTGTGTGTGTCTGTGTGTTGTATGAGTGCCTGTGTGTGTATCTCTGTGCTGGTGTGTGTGTGTCTGTGTGCTGGTGTGTGTTTGTCTTTGTTGTGTATGTCTGTGTTGTGTGTGTCTGTGTGTTGGTTTGTCTGTGTGTTGTGTGTGTCTGTGTGTTGGTGTGTGTCTGTGGGTTGTGTGTGTCTGTGTTGGTGTATGTCTGTGTGTTGTGTGTGTCTGTGTGTTCTATGTCTGTGTTGGTGTGTGTCTGTGTATTGTGTGTCTGTGTGTTGGTGTGTGTCTGTGTGTTGTGTGTCTATGTGTTGGTGTATGTCTGTGTATTGTGTGTGTCTGTGTGCTCTATGTCTGTGTGTTGGTGTGTGTCTGTATTGTGTGTCTGTGTTGATGTGTGTCTGTGTTGTGTGTCTGTGTGTTGTGTGTGCCTCTGTGTTGATGTGTGTCTGTGTGTTAGTGTATGTGTATGTCTGTGTTGTGTGTGCCTCTGTGTTGATGTGTGTCTGTGTGTTGGTGTATGTGTATGTGTTGTGTGTGTCTGTGTGTTGTGTATGTCTGTATATTGATGTGTGTGTTGCACTCACTTGCACTTCCTTGAACCCCACTTGATGTCTGTGCCTCTGTTCCAGTGTCCCTCCTGGTTCCTTCCTGCCCTGGCTGTCAGCAGAGCTGTGAGTGTGGATACCAGGCTGGAGTGAGGGAAAGAGGAGCCCCTGGTATGGGCTGTTCCCTGGGGGATTTTGGTAGAGAAAAGGAGCAAAACAGAAGTAACGGAAGCTTGGGGGTCAATGGAAGAAATTTTTAGAGGACGGGAGACTTGTCAAGGTTTGAAAGCAGAAGGGGAAGGATGCATGCATGAGGAGGGGCATTTGGAAAAGTGCTGGAGACGGGGCCATAGGGAGGCTGCCAGGGAGGTGCACCAGCAGAGACTGGGGTGAGGGCACAGGAAAAGACACAGAAACCCCATCCCGGGACTTGCCACCCAGCTCTCAGATTGCTAATGCTCAGCAGCTAGTGCTGTGACTCAGGAATCAGCTCCAATTAGCAAGGGATGGGAGGGAAGAAGTGAGCTGGGAAAAGGCAGCCGCTGCTCCAGTGAGGGTGATATATAATTCAATGCTCATGGACCCGTGCAAAGTTTCTTCTTTGACTTGTGCCAGGGAGACCAAGCCTAGGCCAGGGGCTGGTCTCTGCCCTTGACAGGCTCAAGGTCTATTTGTGGTATGGATGCATCAGCTCTCAAAGTTGAAGGCTTGCCCGGCCCAGGGGTCTCCACCTCTACCCATCGACATCTCCATCCCCATCCCTAGTCCCATCCCCAAACTCATTGACAAGTCACCAGAGAAAAATGAGGCCAGAGAGGTTAAGAAGTTGCCCAAAGTCACACAGCTGGGCAGAACCAGGATTCCAACCTAGCACTCCCTGATGCCAGCATTCGAGGTCTGCACCTCCATGCCATACTCCTGTAGGGCATTAGGTTCCTGGTCCCTGTGCTCTGTCTGACTTCTGACTCTGTTACTTGCTTGACCTTTGAATATCACTTTGCTGGCTCTGCCGGCCTGACTTGGACCCTTGCTGATTTCAGCCAGCTTGTGAGTCTTAGCTCAGACTTTCCCACCAGCTATTGGCCCTTGACCAGACCCTAGCACTGTATCTTCCCCAGGACCTTCTGGGGCTCCCCCGGACCTGATTTCCTTAGGCCACCCACATCTCTTATGACACAGGCAGGCAGACAGGAGGATACTCAGAAGAGAGTGTTAAGGAGGAGATACTTTAGGTTGGAATCAGCCAACATAGCCTGTGATGGCCTCTGGCACATGGCATGGTGGGGAGCCTACCACGGAGAGGGTGGCTGGGAGCAGCTTCATGGCTCACAGCGGGTGGAGCTGCATGGAATGTGCCGGAAAGTCAACTAGGAAAGGTTGGCCAAGTTACAGTGAGTGCCCAGCTGAAACCGGACACCAGGAATTTGTAGCCGGTCAGGCCTGCTGCCTGGGAAATGGTTGGCCTACTTTGCTTTTCAGTTTTCATCGTTTATTTCTAAAATAAATGTTTATTTTACCTTTGTATTTAAGATTTTTAGGAACATGGGAAAGAATGATTTTGTTTTGGTTTTAGACACTTAATTTTGTCCTTAGAGAGATACAGGCCAACTTGCTAATTACAGCCTAAAAGTTGGTGTCTGGTGGTGGGGTCTTTCTTTGATGGGTGTGGCTGCCTTGTGGCACATCTCCAGGCTTTGCATTCTCCACCCCGGCCCAGTGATCCAAGATTTCAGCCCCGCTCATAAAGACCCTAGCCCTCCCCCACATGCTTCCCCCTTGCTTCCCAACACCCCTGATCTCTCCTCACCCTCAATCCTGGGCTCCCGACTGATGCTGAAGAGAATGGCACACACCGCCCCCACACCTGCGTGCACAGCCCTGCAGTCATGCTCTTGGCAATCTTCATTTCCCTTATTCTAGCAGTTATTGTTCTGTTCCTGTCCACCTTCTCCCACCCCTATCCCCTGCTCAACCATCTTTATTTATTTTTTTTTTGAGATGGAGTTTCGCTCTTGTTACCCAGGCTGGAGTGCAATGGCGCAATCTTGGCTCACCGCAACCTCCGCCTCCTGGGTTCAGGCAATTCTCCTGCCTCAGCCTCCTGAGTAGCTGGGATTACAGGCATGTGCCACCATGCCCAGCTAATTTTTTGTATCTTTGGTAGGGACGGGGTTTCACCATGTTGACCAGGATGGTCTCGATCTCTTGACCTCGTGATCCACCCACCATCTTTATATCTGTATTTTTTAAAAAACAAATTTGGAATATAAAGTGCTCAAAGCAAAGACATACAGCTTACGTCTTGGCGTAAAGTGAACACTCAGTAACAACCACCCATGACAGGAAATCCAACACTGCTAGCTTCTGGAAACCTCCCTCCTTCCTCCTCCCAACAATAACCCCTTCTTTAATCCTCAGAGGTCACTACTCTCCTGATTATGGAAATCACACCCTTGTTTTACAGCAAATGTATTTCTGAATGCTGTATTTTGCCTGTTTTTTGAACTTTATGGGCATAGACTCATGTTTACTCTTTTGTGCTTGGCTTCTTTCAGTCAACATTATGTGTGATTCATTCGTGTGGCTGCACATAGGTACAGCCTATTTCTTTTCATTGTGTATAGTATTCTACTGAATGGCTGCCCATATATCCAGGCAATTCCGTCTGCAGCCTCCAGCTGAGGAAACCTCCGTTTCCCCATAGGACCCAGCCCCAAGGTGGGGTCCTTCCATGGTTTGAATTCTACTTTTCTTTACAATCTTTTCTTGCTAGAGATCTCAACCCTGACCCTTGAGCACCCTCCGTGTTGGTCGCCATTTCTGCAGTTCCCTAAGTGTGCTGTGCTCACCTGGCTTTTACATAGCCTGGCCTTCTGCTACTAATTTTTTTAAGGGACTCCAATCTGGGGTTTACTTCAGTCTCACCTTCAGCCAGTCTTTGTTTTATGCTTTATGCTTCAGCCATATTGAAATATATTTGAATTTTTAAGACTATATACTACTTTGTCCTTTTCCTCAAGTTTTTCCTGTTTTCATCCCCAATTTGTTTCAGTAATGCCTACTCATTATTCAAAACAAAACCTAGATTCCTCCAAGAAGTACCCACTGATTCCTTTTATCTATAACCTATATTTATCTATAGCCTATATTTCTATCATAGCACGTGGCACACATCATTGTACTGAGCCATACTCATGGTGATCTGTGGCAAGGAAATGGTCCAGTCTGGTGGTTCTCAAAGTGTGGTCCCTAGATCACACTGGTTTTCATCTGGAGATCGGTGAGAGATGCAGACTCCTGGTGCTTACTCCAGGTCTTACACCAGAATCAGAAACTCTGGGTGTGAGACCCAGCGGTCTGTATTCTAAAAGGCTCTCTAGGTGATATTGGTACTAAGAAAGCAGACCACTGGTCTCATCCATCACTGTACCTGGCAGGTGTGGTCCAGAATAAATGTTGAAATAAAATAAACTCAAGTCATCTACCCCAGAAAGTCTTCCCAGCTTTCCTAGGCTGGGGGAGGAATCACTCCTGTGTCCTTGTGGCGTCCTGCATGCTGTAGTGGAAATGCAGACGCCGACTTCCTCCTTGGATTCTGCTGTCTTCGTCTTGTTCTCTCTGTGCTGCCTGGCACAGGGCTCTGTGTTATAGTTTTAGGTCCTGGGATATACATGAGAGAAAAGACAGAACGATTCCTTCCTTTCGTGGAATTTAAGTTCTAAGAGGGCAGGCAGAAAATAAATCGTAAACAAACAAATGTAAAATAATTTCAGATAGTGCTAAGAGTTGTCAGGAAAACGGAACAAGGTGAAGTGATAGCGATGGACTGAGTGGCTAGTTTAGAGCAGGAAGTTAGAAAAAGTCTTTCTGGGAAGGCAACATTGAGCTAAGATTTAAAAGATCAAGTACCAGCTATGTAAAAATCGTGGGAAAGCCATTCCAGAGGGAGGAAATGATTGGAGTTTGGTGAGATTGAGGACTAAGAGGATGGCAATGAGGGTGGTCGGGGGTGGGAAAGGCGAGCGGGGAGGGAGAGGGGGGAGAGAGAGAGAGAGAGAGAGAGACAGAGACAGAGAGTCCTAAGAGGTGGATAGAGGCAGCCACAGAAGGAGTTTGGATTTCATCCCAAGGGCTCTGGGGAAACCCTTGGAAAGGGGTGTTTGGGTTGGGGAGGGCTGTGTACTGGTGCAAATTTTTGAAAGCTATCACTCTGGCTGCTGTGTGGATGAGGCAAATTATGCAGGGTCAAGAGTGGAAGCAGGGAGGCCAGTTTGGAGGCTGTGGGGGCAACCAGGCAATATGGGGGCAGCACAGGGGCAACATATTTGATCACGTGGAATTCTGCTTCCACTGTATTAGATGTCTGGCTTTCAGGAATTCACTGAACCCTCTTTATGTGCCTCAATTTTACCCTCTGTAAGAGGGGATAATCCAGCACTTAATGCACAGGTTTACTGGGAGGGTTCAATTAATATGTATAAACCATGAATTCCTGTGGTGTGAGTTATTTTTATGTTGTTAGTATTAGCAGCAGTAGTGGCTGTCATCATTGTAGAATAAAGAGAATGAAGGATTCAGGACGTTTACAGGTTGGGGTGACATGACTTGCTGGTAAGTTGGATTTTGAAGATGAGGGGAAGAGGAGAAGAAGATTCCTAGTTTTTTGGCAACAGGTTCATTAGGGGTGCTGGTAATAAACTGGGAGGAAGGCCAGTAGGGAAGCAGGTTTTGGATGTGGTGGGAGCAAGAGGTGTCGGAAGCTGTTTGAAGGACATAGGTTGAGGTACCTATAAAACATCTGTGAGGAGATGTCTGGCAGGGACTGGATAGGAGACCTGCAGTTGAGGGAAGAGCCTGTGTCTAGAGATGCACATCTGGGAGCTGGGGCACTGTGATGAGTTTGCAGATAAAGACATGAAGGGTGCTCGGGACAGAGAGGTTCCCTTACCCTAAGTGGAGCAGTGGAGCAGGGGCCAGTATTGGGCCTGAGAAGGGAAGACTGTGAGCTGCTGGGATGCAGGAGAAAGGGGCCTGTGGGCTTCCTTGCCAACAGGTCACAACAGGGATAAGCAGAAGATGCAAAGGAGATCATTCCATTTGGCAGCGTGGAAGTCATCTGCTGAGAGAATGAAGGCAATTCGACTTCATTGGTTGATGCATCTCTTTAGAAATCAACTCAATAGAAAAGCCTGGCTGTATACATTCCTTGATACCTACCGAGAGTGAGAGAACAGAAAGGGGGTCCCTGAAGACAACAGTAGAAATGGCCTTTTCAGAGCC